GAGTAGAAAATGAAGGCTAATCATGTTTTGGGTGTACTATTCCTTAAAGCAACAACGCGATTACAACAATGCCTTTAAAATTCTGCCTTGAACTTCTTATTTACAGACCAAATTAAACACCAATGCCAGCTGTTGGGGGCAGTTAATAAACCATCCTGATGTGTACTCTTGTTAAATGTTTATTTAATGAAGAAACCAATTAGTTTCTGTCTTCATGAGAAGTGAGCAGGTTGTTGCTCCACCAAAGGGCCAGACACACTTATTCTAGATGCATTTCATACCACATTATGCGCCGATGTCACTTATCTGATCAAAATGGATCTATAAATGTCCACTCTGAGGTAACTGATTAATGCAATAATAACTGCAGGACCTGCTTTTCTGTTGTACCTGCAGCAAAGTCTTTGCAATGTCTGGGTTTTCGGGGCTGTCAAAATGTAGCATCTGGGAACCCAGGCCATAGTAGTAGGGCCCCATCTTATGCAGGTCCACCACGTTGGGATCAGCTGAGAACACCGTCCTCCAGCCCTCTTTGTAGACTTTAGGAAGCTCCACAGTCAGCACCTTCCTCTTCCTCTCATACAGACCCTTAGAGAGCCACAGAGGAATCTCCATCTTTGTTCCCTAAAAGAAAAGAACATTTTGGAGCTATTGATAATGAAAAGACAACCTTCCAGTAATTCCTAATAAACACAAAATAATCTACTTCCGTTGTTTGTAATGGCGAGGAACAGGCATCAAAGACCAACGACATGGACCCACCGCTGAGAGCAAAGGCATTAAGCTATGCAGCATCTACATGTGCAACATCTACATATGCAACATCTACATATGCAACATAGACATATGCAACATCTACATATGCAACATAGACATATGCAGCAACAAACAGCACAACATCTAGACATTTTACATCTGCTTGTTTTTGATACAAACGGAACCTCATATATCCTAATTGCCAAACTGCTTTGTTTCTGAACAAATATAACGCAAAAGCAGAAGAAATGTGCAGAATTCACATCTGATTCGTTGTTCATTCTTAAAAGACAAAAATCATCTTTCATACACATACAATCGACGAAAAGACTTAGGTGATCATGTTTATGCGTATATCGGCCACTTTTAGAAAAATTAATGGAACAAACAGTGACTTTGATATAAATCCTCTGCTTCACTGACCTCCGGAATGTCCTGCGAGTCACTGGACTTCTCCAGGAATCCAAGCCGTGGGAAAACACACTCCGTTCGAACAGGCAGCCTCTCCTGGGAAAGCAAAATGTCGTCGAGAGATAAAAAATTCTCCTCCATCCCCACACCGGGAGGAACGGGAAAATAAGACGGCGTCTCCATGTGTTTAAACGCGCCACCAAATGTAAGCAGTTAACGGAATAAAAACAGCAAACGTCTCCTCACTTGCAGCTCTTCCGACTACACTTCCTTGTTCTTGGCGCCAGAAGAATGAGCCAATCACAGCGCCGCAAACTAGACCGACAAACCACACGGTGCGTTCTAAGTAACTCGGAAATTATAAATTTTCTGAAAAACTTCATTTCTAGTTGTTACATATGCATGTAGTATTTGACAAACAAAGTGATAATATAATGTATTCCGTTTCAATCTATATATTTAAGTATTATAAGAAAATATCTAGCGCATTAAAATGTGTACTTGGAAATAAAACTCCCAAATACAACCTCACAAAAATTATCCCGAACGTACCATAAATGTACATTAGAGCTGAAGCTATTCCCACTTCAAATCAAATTTGCTTGTAAAACGTTGTAAAAGCCAGCAAAGAAAATTATTTTATTATAATCTGTATTTTATAAAATACTCAAGACATATTTTTAGCATAATCTCTATTTAAGGAAATGGTTACTTTAGTGTTCACACTATAAAAACACAAAACAGATATAAATACTGAATGTATGATAACTTGGCAGAAGAACTTGCAAATTCAACTGGTTTAATGACTTGTAAGGTTGTGGCTTCATTTCCAGATATGATAAAAAAAAATAAAATAAAAAAGACAGAAACATGTGAAATATTTAATTAGATAAAACTGATACTTAAGAATTTTTACTTTGTGAGTTGGCAAGTTGGCAAGTTGGTTCTTGGTTGGAGTTGATTTTTTCCAGCTCTAAATTAAAACAAAAATACGAATGGAAAATTAAGTTGGATATAAATACCTGCTTATATCTGGAATGCAGCAACAGTCTGAACTGACTTAATCTATAAAACCTAAATAATATTATATAAGGGATTTGACCCCTATGATGCCAGGAAGAATGACATTAGCAGTCTATATTGAATGTTGGGGGATAAAGTGAATTGTTTTGGACTGAAGGAAAAATAAAAAATTCTTTATTACATCACAGATAAGTTTATTAATTATTTGATAAATAAAGTGAATTGGGTCTTTCTTCCAATGAGGAGTCACGTGCACTTATATTTTTGACCATTTGAGGCCAGAATATCATCATTAATAAAAATAGGTCACCTTATATGCACTTGTAACTAGGTTAAGCCGTAACCGATATGGGAACGGTAATTATATTAGTAGCGTAAAAAGAAGGCACAACAACAAGTAGCTAAAAGTTGGACTGTAAATTTAACCTTGAATTTCCATCCAATTAAAATGCAGCAGTCGTCTCAGTGCCCTCACCTTCTCTCTGTCACTTCTGATGTCAGTCATCAGTTGATAAATGAGAAATGACAGAAAGTCCAGACTGTAATCGTGTATTTTCTCCGCTGTCAGGGTAAAATCGGCTCACAAATCTTGACGACAGGAAAAAACAGCTCAGTCGTTTCTCTTATTTTGACATTATTGATTCTTAGACATGTCCTTCAGACTTCTCATTAAAGTCATCAGATATGTGGGCCAAATTTCCCCTAAAAAAAGTGTTTGTTATGACAAAAGTTTTAAAAACACATAGAAACAATAAGGGCACAGAATGCATTCAAAGCAATAAGCTGGATAATACAGTTAAATCTTCCATATTTTAGTTTCACTGACTAAAATGTCCAGCTTCCCTTAACTGATGTTTGTAGCATTTTAATCATTGAATCTGACTGCATTTACTGCAGTAGTTGGGCTTTATACAACATAAAGAAACAGAAATACATAGAAAGGCACCGCTGTGTCTCACTGTTGCAATGCTTTTTTTATGCTAAACAGGCCTCTTGGGATGATTCCCTTAAAAAAAGAGAAAAAAAAGAAGAAAACAACATCCCTTGAAATGCCAAACAAGACTTCTAATCTGGACCATCGCAGGTAGGTTACAAGGCGATGTGTTAACTTGAAATGAGGGAGGCTCTGTTCTTTAAGATGGATGTATATTGAGCACAAATAAAAAACCTGTGCTCTGTACTTCTGCTTGTAGTTTGTTGGTATAATCTTGTGGTCTGTGCCCTACATTGACCTCTAATAATCAGCCAGATTGTGAGACGCAGCAGGGAAAAGCCGCCCATTAAACTCCTGCAAACGCTGTGTTGTCAATGTTCCACGCCTGGATGCATCAAGCATAAACCAGGTTTAACAGTCTCATGGAATAGGCTGTTATAATAATAATAAACTCATTATCACACTGCAAAACACTTATATCAAGTAGAATAATACAGCATAGTTTAGACTCAGCTCTGACCCTTAAAAAAGGGTTGAAAAAATCAACAGTGCAGCAAGTAGCATTACGTCAAGTCAGCGGAGTCATTTTATTTGGCATCTAAATATCTCTTAAATGTGTTGTCTGGAAGACTTTTCATTTTCATTAAAACTATACCTTGCATATCCCTGCACAGTTACTCATCTGATTGCTCATAGTGTGCAGAAAATGTTATGACAGTCAGCCACAGCATCTCTGATGGGACTGATAAAATAATCCAGCAATCCCCTCAGACTTATTAAATTCCTCCTTCTTTTTATTTTTTATTTGTTGCCTTTCTCAGGTTGCACAGTTCATTCCTATCCAATATGCCATGACTACAGTCCATACTGGATGCTTTCTATCTATAAAATACTTCCCTGTATTAATATTAAAAAAGTAATTTAATAGAACATAACTAGGTCATTAAAAAGGAAATAATCCAACAGCTCTTCAGAGTTCCCACTGAGATTATTTTTATGTGCGTTTTATACTGTCTGAAAAATTGGATGTAAAAAAAGGACATTTGAAAAGGATTCACCTAAGAGATTTGATTAGGTTATGTCTGAATCAGTATAAGTGAATCTCAAATAAACTTAATGCTGAAACAGAACACATAAGAATACATTTTTTACTAAATGTATAACAATATATGTGGGAAAAGCTTGGAAATGATTTATGAAGGCCTAAATTATGGCCTAAAATTTGATCGGGAAGTGTAACATTTTAAGATATAATGTGTTGTTTGGGATTTTATTTTTATTTTATTCCTATCCAGATGAATGAAATCACCACATTTATCGATTGTCTTCTTCCAGCGCCTTAATATGAAGCATGAAGATATTGATGTTTACATTTTCCTCTGACTGAATGAAAGCCAGTGGCTGTGAGTAATACCTCCATTCTTACGGGATTTTAATACTTCATTCATAGTTGTGCTTTTCCCTTCTTCACAGAATTATTGCTCCACTTTGGGTAACCATGCTGAAATAAGTTTGCCAACTCCCTGAAAAAAAAAAACCCCCCGGGGAATTTTTTTTTTAGCCCCCCTTTGTGTGTTAAATGATTTTTTCAATTATTTTACTCAAATCTGTTGAATTCGATGCATATTAGTGAGTGACATGGATACGTGGAAAACAAATTATTATCCAGCAATTCACTTTAATACAAAATAGCAAACTTTGCTGAATAAAATAAGTATCTTAAACATAAACCTCTCCTGCTGAACTTCAAACTGTAAAAATGAATATAATAAATAAATGGTGCACATTTTTGGTGCAACAGCAAACTTGTAAACAGATTTGTGCCTAAATCACAATGACTGTAGGCTACATTTGTAAATCAGAAATAAAAGTCCTTAGCTCAATGCCAGATTATGTGGCAATAGCCTACTTTTTTCCACTTGTGTTTCCTCTGAGCTCTTGCTGCAGTGAGGAGTTCTCTGTCTCTGAGCGCTGCAGAGTAAAACTCTTAGCAAGGCAGTTCATAATTGAGGCCGACAATGAGCTCAGCTTTAATTAATTCAGTGGAACATTTGTTCTGCACATTAGTCCATTTGTTCTTCAATCAGGAGAAAATCCTCTCCTCAAAACCAGTGGAAGATGGGATGCTGAGGACAAAGGACAGCAGCTTGGATGTTGGGAAGGTCAGCTGCCTGAAGAACCTCCATCCACCTCTCTGCTGTTCCTTTGGACTGACAGGATTCCTTTTCCTTTAAATTACTCTGTTCATCCCCCACACTGCTCTGTTGTCTCCCACTATCTTTGTCAGCAACACTTGGCTCGACCAATGGGATGAGGGTATTATAGAACGTTACATATATGTTGCCAGCTCATTGGTCACAACGCAGTACAAGTTTACCGTAAGTTTTGTATCTAACGTGCCCCTTCCTTTCATTTTCCATCAACTTATTAGTGACTATTTTTCTACTCTCACAGTAATACTGTACAAGTAATTTATTAATAAAGTAATTTCCCTCTGAGATTATTAAAGTATGTCTGATTCTGATTCTGAATACGGGACAAAGTACATTCCTTTTCCATTAAATACGGGACAAGTACTTCTATTTCTAAACACGGAACGATTCTGTTTTTCAAGGGACAGTTGGCTATGCTGAAAGACCATCAAAGACCAGGGGTGTAGCTAGATGGGGGACGAATGGTGGCCATGGTCACACCCAGCCAATCATTGGCGACCCTTGTGGCCACCCAATCAGATGATGTGTTGTTCCCATGCTGACATCATTCAGAGCAGCAGTGATGCTCTAAGGTTGGCTGTCCTAAGTGGAGATTGTACCTGTAGGTGTATTAACCATAAACTGACAATAAAAAATGTGAAAGTTTTATTTTTTACATCATTATACTAAAATTAAAGATGAAAAATACCAACATCTAGCTCTTTTCAAAGCAAGTTTTATGGAAGTATGTCATCTCTGTACATAATTTAGGAGTCTCTTGAATTTTAGATAAATAAAAACCAAAATTATTTAAGGCATCTATTACTGTATGTATATATAGATATTAAGTAGAACTGTAATTGAATAAAGGTTTTTCTAGTAATGTAGGTAAGAAATGCCCAAGTGATTTTTTTTAATAACTCATAGAACCTTCTTGCTCTTCCCCATCATGTAAAAGATTCTTCCTAATCTTCTAAAAGGCTCCTCCTCTTCTCATAAATATTGTAAGAAAGTTTGCTTCTAATGACTTCTAGCCATTTTTAAAGTCTACAGTCAGCTAAGATTATTTGCTAAAACTGAAGCAGACTGGATACTTTAACAGCAGAGTACCCAAACAGAAAGAGCTCTCCAATTGGAGTTGGGTGAGCCAGGGCTGGCTTTACAGGTAGACTTTCCGCCATCTGCTGGACAAAGTGCAAAATTGCAGGATAAAAAAATGACTTAAATGTATGAATGTATTAAAAATACAATTTCTATACAAACTCTATATTTCCCACCAAAAGACAATTAAACCTCAATATTTACATTTTTGCAATGATCATTGCAATAATTTAAGTATTGAAGAAAATTCAAATATTGAACATTTGATATTAAATGTTAATACTGAAATTTAAATGTTCAACTGAAATATTGAGGTTTATGCAGCTTTTGATTTTACCATTCCCCCCCATGACATTTGCATGGTGTTTTAAATTCTTGCTTATTTTAATATTCTCATCTTTCTAGTCAACATTTGCTCTTTTTGGCTGATGCCTTTCAAAGTCGTTTAATCAGCCTTGATATTTGACCTTTGCTTTTGATTGTACAGATTTATGTGGCTTTTGATTTTGCATCCAGCACATTAAGTTGTTGTTATTGTAATATTTTAATTCTATCCTTCAAACTTACATAAATTCTCCAGGTTATTGCCTCAACATTAAACATTTAAACTTAGAGCAGGCCGGAGGTGAGCACAGGGCAAAGAGAAGGATGTGGGAAAACCAATAGATAAGATGATCCACTCTGAACTCAAACCCAAGAGAAGAACATCCACTGTAGTTTTTATTAAGACAGAATATATATGTGTAAGTATTTGCATAATAAACAGTGATTATTTGCAAAATATGAATGTTGAACTCATTCATTTTCCTGCTCGTAAAATGCAACTAGTGTGGATTGACCAGGAATTCATGGCGCTTATACTGCCTGATGTGCATGTAGACCCCAGCTTAGCCACCCCTATGTACATTATCTGGCTGCATGAGGTCCGTTTGCAAGTATAACCATTTTTTTTTTATTATTTGTACTTGTTGAGAGAAAGAAAATAAATTGCATTTCAGTGAATACCTTTAAAATGATTATTATCCATGTATTTAGCATGAAAATGTTCTAATGGACAAGGTGACTCTGTGTGTTGAGCAACGGGTCCAAGGAAAGCAGGAAGTTATGGATTACTAACTGGAAGCTCCTCTCTGAAAAATACAGACAAGTTGTGAATGCATAAAAATCTTGATATTTAATATATAAGTAATAAAGTTTTTTTTAATCAAACAAATAAATGCAATTAAGCCTAAAATAAATGATGTATTTTTATTTTGTTTGCTGTTTCTAAAGTCTAATCAGACCAAGGAAATGTGTTTTGCCTCCTAACTCCAGAGGAAAGCCCACCACAGAATAAAGATAAAAAAAAAAAATCTGATTTTGTTTTTACAATTTCTGATTTCATTTTAGAACTTTAAAAACTTTTTTTTTTCTTCTAACAATAATGGAACTAATTTTACTCCATAGTGATCCCTGAGTTCTGTGGAGGGCCAAAATATATCATAAATTAGATAAATGTCAATATTCCAAAAAAAAAAAAAATAAGTATGTGTAAAATTTATCTATACATCTTAATGTAATTCAAATACTAAAATAATAAGATTAATTAAATTGAAAAACGCACCATGAAATAACACTATGTCCCACAAAAACAATAACAATTAATTTAATAATAAATATCATTTAAATTAATTCATATACATAATATTTAATATATTTCCTTTAGTTTACGTGTATAAATGCATATAAAGCAAATCAGTTAAGTGCATATGTATT